ACCCGTGCAGGGAAACGTGAAATTGAAACAGACAGCACCTGCCTTTGGGTATGGAAATAACAGATTCCAAAATGCAAACGAAACAAAACAGAGCAAGAGCAGTAAAAGCAAACCTGAGGCCCAGCTGCCTGCAGATCACTTCCGCGTCTGCGTCGTCCCACTGGTCGTCGCGACGGTCCCCCACCTGCCCGGACCCGGTCGTTTGTTGTCTGTTCGGTTCAGCTCCACCGCCTTCCCGGCGGCTCTTCCCGCAGCAAGGCGGCAGGGAAGCGGGGCCTGTGGCGCGAGTTTTTTTCTAAAAAAAAAAAGGTTAACGCTGTGCGATTTTACAAACTGAAGATCCGCAGCATGTCCCTCGATTCTTCCTTACCTGCGCTTCATGATCAGTAATATTTTATGAAGGCAACACGTGGCGGCATGACATTGCAATTGTCTGATCGCTTATGCTATTCCATGTGTGTTTCTTCTTCGTATGCTCTTGACTGGCACTCTACTTCATCATTCCACGCTGGTCCCACCTCAGGGCTTTGGGCCTGCCCTGCCTTCTGCTTGGAACAGCGTCCCCACAGGTCTGCCTTCCTCTGTCACTCAGCTCTCAACCCCGAGTGTCCCTTCTTCAGGAGGCTTGCTCTGGCCGAAACACCCCTCTCTGGCACTTTCTACAACACTGCCTCATTTTGTCTTCCTCAGAATATTTACTTTTATCTAAGACTGTCATTGATTTATTGTCTACATGTCAATTGACCCTCTCCTCTTGGCTACAATGAGGACGGATGTCTTCCCTTCCACCCGTGTCTCTCAGGCACCTGGCACAGAGAAGGCATGTAGTAAATATTCCTTGGCTGCCTGGATTGGCAAGTGATGCAAAAAATCTGGAAAGAGTCTCTCAGACAAGGAAAAATAATTAGCAACATCCACTCATCCATTCTTTTTAACCAGCAGATATTAGACTAGGATGTTACAGTCAGGCCACAGGGCATTCGAGGGGGTGCCGGACAGACCTGAACTCGGGCTTAGTGCCTAACAATAAAATGAGTACAGCCACGAGATTATCAGGGAAACCCCACAGTGGTTCAGAAGCAAGAGACCTTCCTCACAGTTTGGGGTAGTTAAAGAATCTCTTGTAAAACAGCAGGTTTCTGAAGAGGGCCAAAGCGGATGGATGGGATTTGGGAAGTCAAGAGTTGGGGGATGTGTGTTGAGGCCAGTTGAACAGTATGAACAAAAGCACAGAAGCACAAAGGAGGATGTGTTTGGGAAACAGTGAGGCAGCCTCATCTTATTGGAATAAAAGACGTAATAGGGTCAAAGCAAACAGGCCAGGCAGGCACCTGCTCTAGTTGTACTTTGTGCTTAGTGCTAATCATTTATCCACATGAAATATGCTTCTAATTCTCCACAGTGCACGTGGCTGTCAGTAAATGGCATTTGGATATTCACACTTACATTCCAGTACCATACTTGTGTTTTGTAGTAGCAGAGATTCAGATTACTGAGTATTTACACATACGTTCATATTCTGATACTTGTAATATAATTTACTTATATCACTAGCACTTACAACTTGTAAAAGGATAAAGACAAGGTTAATACACAAGGCTAAATGATGGTAATATAATTCTCACAAGTCATGATGTTTATTTTCCTTTAGATGGTACCCAGGAAACCCATTCGCCATCTTAAAAGGCAGCTGTTCCTGCACTCCTTAAGCTGATATAACCACATGCATACCTGCATACTGATAATTATCACATGCCCAATGTAAGGAGCTTGGAAGAAGCTCCATTTTTAGGGAAGGTGATATCTACAACCCCAAGGGGAACACTGATGCCATGATCGTATTACATTACACAAAACGACAATATCTCAGTATAGTTGCCTGATGTTTTATTTGAGTGGTAAGTGAGTATTACCAACATGTAATTATTATGAATGGCACTTGTGTCTATGACATTTGTTCAGTACCAGACTATAAGTTTTATATTTGTAGAAATCACGTCAAAGTCAGTCCCCAAGTCATTATGACAAGTTGGTGAACATCATGGCCAGCACCTCTCAGAAACATGACTGGAACTCCACCTGGGCGGGAATCAGTTTATTCTCATTTCGGCTGGTAAGAACCACCCCAAGTGTGACATCCCCACCGTCTACCATGCCTGGCTAGCCCTGTGGGTCCGAGATTCGCCTGCACCTCGGTGGCCTCATTCCCTGGGCTACAGCACAGTGGCCTCTTCCTTCCGTCCAGAGAACTCTCCGCTCGCTCTTGCTCAGGCTGGTTTCGAACTCCTGACCTCAAGCAATCCGCCTGCCTTGGCCTCCCAGAGTGCTAGGATTACAGGCGTGAGCCACTGCGCCCGGCCTGTATTTAAACTCTTTAAGGAAATGATTTAACTAAGACACTTCTATCATCTGGAATCATGTTGAAACCACAATGGAAGTAAGACAACAGAACAAATTTTTTTTTTACCATGGGAAAAGCTACACGTAACAGCAGCTGCCATCTTCTGAGGACACACCCCACCCTGCCAGATGTCTTTCTCACACAGCAGTATATTTTCTTCATCTCCTCGGCAACGGACATTGCTCCAATAAATGGGGATATGGCCCAGTCCAGAAAGCGGGGTTTGTTTTGCTATTCCTTTTCCTCTGGAAGTATAATGACTGATGTTAGGTTTATCAAATACAAGCAAAAATTTTTATCAAAGTATTTGATTTTAAAAAATGGAAGAAATCCATAAAGATGGATGTGCATGAAAAGAAAGAAAGAAAGAAAAAAGAAAAACACACTGATATACATAAATTTCAAGGAAATCAAAACATTAGATGGGAACTTGGATGGATTACCCATGGCAATCTTTTTATCAATCTTGAGTAACTATTTGTACATGTCTTTGCTATCTACCACTGATTTAGAAGAAAATAGCTGAGTACTGCAGATATAAAAAGGGAGTCTAGATGGCTTTGTGCAAGAAATGTGTCATGAGGCCCAGTGAGGCATGGATCCCCTTCTGGACTGAGCTAAAAGTCACTCTAAGCCACAAGTTTCTCTAAGGCTCCACCTGCAGAAGGAGAAGAAAGTCTAAGGCCAGGGGCAGTGGTCAGCTGTAATCCTAACCTCCTCGGACGCGCCAAGGCGGGGCACTGATGGTAGTTTGGAGCTCAAGCGAGGTCTGCAGGAGCAGCGTGGAACAGAGCAAGGTACCATTCTACTAAAAAATAAAAGGTGGGCCCGTGGTGGCGCCAGGATGATGGTTTTGTTTGTGGGGTGTGATGTGCGGATGGGACGTGTGGAGTAATGCGAACGACCGAGGCAAAGCGTGATGTACTATGGTGATGATGTATAATTTTGCAACGTGAAGATATAGTGATTAAAAAAAAAAAGTTAACGGCATGTGGAGCAGCCGTGCCAGTACGCGGGGTGACAGTTGGTTGGCCACGAGTCTGGAGTGTGGTGAGCTGGGTGAGCGCACGGCGGACGTCGGACTCGTGACGTGGGGCAGGCGAGAAGCGGGAGAGGGGCTGCAAAGAACGGAAGAAGAGAAAATAGAAAGAAGTAGGAAGACTAGAAATACTGGATAGGAAAAGAGGCGAGGTTGTGGCAGGGCCTTATCCCAGCGAAGTCGCGACGGAAGGTAGATTCTGTGCAGAGTTGAAGTGCGTTGAGGGGAGCCGGCACTTAGCCGTGTCGGTACAGAGTGAGACTCTGTTCAAAAGTAAAAGAAAGAAGAAAAGATTGTATGCTAGTGAAGATATTGTCATAGACTGGAGTCAGAAAGATTTTTTTGATCAGCTTCATGTAGGGCTAGCATTTCGCAAATGATGGTTATTATTACTGACATCCTAGCACAATAATTCAGCGAGGGCATGATCGGGATTTATAATTTTAAAAGGCCTTAGGTATGTGTATATAGGTATTGTGCTAGCAAAGGCTTTGAAGCGTGATTGAGACAACAAGAGATTAACATGCGATGGGACTCGGTTTTAGCTCGATCAATTCACATATTTGTGTAGGTAACTTCTGATGTGCACAAACTGATATTAAACTTTAAAAAGATTAAACACATATCTGATGAACATGGTGATCTCTACAATGGTCTCCATGCTGCAACTTCCATCAGCCAAACAGTAAACATGTGGAGTGTATCTAAAAATATGAATGTGTCTTCACAGCAATCAAGCTGGGTTTCTCTGCTTTTATTGTGCAATTCTTAAAAAAAAAAAAAAAATAGACTACTAAGCGATGCTACAGTATAAGCAACTGGACCAGCTTATCTGAAGTCTATGTTTACAGAATGATAGTTTACATTCTTTCATCAATCAAAAGACTAATAACCCGCTGGGCACAGTGGCTCAGGCTTATAATTCCAGCACTTTGAGAGGCCAAGGCAGGGGGATAGCATGAGGCCAGGAATTCAAGATCAGCCTAAGCAGCATAGCAAGACCCCATCTCTACAAAAAATCCAAAAAAAAATTAAGCAGGTCCAGTGGTGGCGAATGCCTGTAATCCCAGCTACTTGGGAGGCTGAGGCAGGATCGCTTGAGCCCAGGAGTTTGAGGTTGCTGTGAGCTATAATGATGCCACTGCACTTCAGCCTGGGCAATGTCTCAAAACAAAAAAACAACAACAAAAAAAAACTGTGCCTAGGTTTCTGCAGGAGCCAGTTCCTGGGCCAGCAGCTCAGGATGGCCAGACACTGCCAGAGCTGATGGAAGCTGCCATCTCCTGCAGGTCATCCTCAGCCCAGAAACCTGAGGTCCGGAACATCACCCTTTACCCATCACGGGGTAAGAGCAGGAGTAAACACCACCCCTTCACACACACACACAAAAACAGAATTTGTGGATGGCTTAAAATAGAATGCTAATAGCAAATGACGGCAACCTAAAGCTGTGTAGGCTACTAAGAAATTATAATTATAATTATCTAATTATTATAATTACAATTCTTAGAATCAAATTACTTGCACCCTAGGCCTAAACAATTATTTCGTTAACAACAAAGGCCAAAAGATGCTTTAAACTTCTGCCCACTTAGCATTTGCCCATTTCCTAGTTCAGCAGGGGCAGCAACATGGAAGTGCATTTGCATGTGAGAGAATTCATTCCTTCCATTTGGGACCCTTTCTTTGCAGCTCTTTTGTGAAAAGAGAGAATGAGGGAAATGACAGTAATACAAGAAGATGCAACCTTCGCACAGCAATGACAGGTGCTCGGCTTTATTCTCAGATACTAGTAGGCTGCTTTGGTCGAGCATGGGTGAACTCACCCCAGCTGCAGCTGGCGACAAATGACTGTGGCATCAGAATCATCCCAGTGGCTGCCACAGATGGCGCCCCAGACTCCACTTGCGTATACTTCCACGGTGCCTTCAAACTCATCTTTGCCACCACGCAGTCGCACTGACCCTAAAATGGGAAAGAATCCCAAAATGGTTTAATAGCAAATAGACAATGAACATTCTGAGCTGGTCCTAGGTTAACATGGTTTTTACACTTAAGTAGGGAGAGATCCAGCCAGAATGATTTAGGCTCCACTGTATACAGCATGTGCTTTTTCCTTCAAATGAATAATTAGCACATTCTTCTTTTCTTCAGCAGTTCGCATCCTGATATCAATGCTAATTATTCTTTCTTTTTTTTTTTTTTTTGGAGACAGAGTCTCACTCTGTTGCCCCGGCTAGAGTGCCGTGGCGTCAGCCTAGCTCACAGCAACCTCAAACTCCTGGGCTCAAGCGATCCTCCTGCCTCAGCCTCCCCAGTAGCTGGGACTACAGGCATGCGCCACCATGCCTGGCTAATTTTTTCTATATATATTAGTTGGCCAATTAATTTCTTTCTATTTTTAGTAGAGACGGGGTCTCGCTCTTGCTCAGGCTGGTTTCAAACTCCTGACCTTGAGCAATCCACCCGCCTCGGCCTCCCAGAGTGCTAGGATTACAGGCGTGAGCCACCGTGCCTGGCCTATTATTCTTTCTTTTTTATCTAGGCAGAATCCCATTATAATTTTCAATTATAATGGAAAGTGGAAGAGTATGACTAATATCAGACCATATATCCCAAATATGAGATTACATCATATTAGAAGTTCTTATCATTTGTCTATCTCTACACAAGGTCATAGATAAGAAACACAGAAACAAAAAGAAATGCTCTGCTTATAAATTAGCTGTACTTGTCTGTGTTAGATTTTCCTTCTATTGGATCTGTTCATCCACTAAAGAACAATAAAATGCTGTTTTCCCCTTTAACCTGAAGCAGTAGTCATAAAAATTCTAAAGATTATGTCCATAATTTCAAAAAGATGTTAGTTTTTAAAATATTGCCTAATGTTCGTCTTAGAAAAATAGCCATTAGGTAGTTTGCATATTTGAACAGCCCTGGAATCTGCCTCCTCTTACATACCCCCCCACTGAGACTTCCCAAAGTCTACAATCTGAGTCATTCTTTTCAGTCTTTAAAGGAGCCAAAATTTGAATTCAAGCACTCCTGGGAAAGCTAACATTTTAAGTCTTATCCCTTAAGTAGATCAAGGCCCTACATTCCTCCTGTCATGGGGACTGGCTGTAGCACGAACACTAGGAGACAGCAATTGGGACAATTAAGCAGAAATAGATTAAACTTAGACAATTTAAGAATTTCATCATATTCAGCTAAAAATCACCTACGATGGCATTTATTTCCTAGGTAAAGAAATTTAAAAATTAAGAAAAAAAAATGAACTCCTACAAAAATATTCTAGCATAATTTGCACATTTCAAAGTTATTGTCTATTGCTTTATAATAATTTGCCAAAAATGTTAGATTTCACTGATTATCCATTCATTTCATTTGTGCTGGCTTAGTCATCCACCACTATTATTTTCTACATCATCATCCTTAAAAAAATGTAAGCATTTAAGAAAAACCTATTTCTAACATCTAAAACGAAGTCTCATTTAATTCAAACAAAAGGCAATAATAAGTAGAGGCAAACATTGTACAGTACTGCCAAACCCTGATTATTCAGTAAAGAACACAAGCATGGGGCATTCATGACAGATCATCTACAAACCATTCATACATTCTAGACCTCTTTAGTTCACACAAAGCAAGAAGCCCTGCCCAGCTCAGGGAAAAGCGAGAGCTACACAACGTTTTTAATGAATACGTCTAAAGAGTTCAACTGAACTCAGAGACACAAATAATACTAAAGCAAATCACAAATGCCAGCAGTTTATTTTCATCAAAGAATTCATTTGTTCACCTCAAGCAAACATTATTTGAAAAGATATTTACGTTAATGTATTATTTCTTTACTAATTTCCCCCCAACCACCAAATAGTCATGTCCAAAGGGTTGGAAGAAAGTTCTAGCAATGAAAACAAACGAAAACTGTACTTATGCACGTTAAATGATCATCATAAGATTTAAAATAGAGCCTAAATGAAAAAGCACTTGGGAAGACATGATGTGCACATATAATCTAAATGACTGGGGCACTTAGAAATGAAAAGGAGAAAACAAACGCTGAGCCAAATATCATTACGACATAACAATATAATGGCCATGACAGAGGCGGAAGTGGTTTCCAGGTCAACCAGGGGCTGCACCATCGCTTTCTCAAGTGCTCCAAGCGCAGTGCTGGGCTCAGCCAGCAGTCTCTGCTGCATGGCAAGAAATGAGGCTGTGCTCATCCAATTTTCCTTTAGCAAATGCATGCAAATATTTGCAATTCTGAAAAGCAGTCTGCATGTCACTAACTAATGAATTCTCTGCCATGTTGTATTCCAGACAGGACCAGCTCTCTCTCTCTCTGTCTCTCTCTCTCTCACACACACACATATGCACACCCCTTCCTGGCCATGTGTCGACAGGGTTTGCCTTTCACCCTGTCCTGACGGCCATAACAATTTCTAAAGTATTTCGAGGAAACTATCTACCTTAAACTTAGGATGAGTATTTCTTCATGTTATATAACTCTATGAAAGTCTCAATCCTTCTAATAACTATTTGAAACCTCTTTTTTAAAAACAGCATAATCATATGCTCTAAAATGGTAAAAGTTTGAAGACATTATTTATACTATTGTAGGGGTCAAGAGAAAACTTTCTCTTTGTCCCCCGAGAGTTCACTGAAAATTACTGAGAAGGGGCAAATTGATGGGAGAAAAGACATGAATTTATTTGATCATGGTTTCACATGACATAGGAGCCTTTAGAATGAAGACCTAAAGCTATAGGGAAAATTGTCTACTGTATGTTTAGGTTTAACAAAGTATGGACAGCTGTGTAGGAAGATGACTGAACAAAAGAGTGTGATCTAATGTTAATAGACTGGGTGGGGAAACCAGTAAGGCCCATTTGTTTGGACTTTTCTTGGCCTCCTTGGATATGTATTTTTTTTTTCTGGGTACGGAGCAGACCCCTCTCTGGGATGGGAGTCTTCTTGTGACCTACAATCAAACAAGGTCAGTCAGATAAATTTTTTGTGGCCAGTTGTTACACAGAAAGGATGAAACAGAAAAGAAATCCACAAAGGTCAAAGCCAGGTACACTTAATTTCTACTGCTATACCTACTAACAATAAAGTTTTTCTCGCAAATCATAGACCAAATTCTTCATTTGGCAAATATCGTTCCAAGATCACAATCTGGAAATGATCTCCCTCCTTCCCGTGGACCTAGGGCTGCTCCGTCTTAATGTCTCTCCAGTGCTGTTTCCATGGAAACTATTCTATTCCAAATATTCCTATCTGACAAATTTGTTAATAATAATAATTTAAAATATGAAGTCTCAAACAGAGGTTTTAGGTCACTATATTAGGCATTGGAAATTTATAGACCCAACGAGTAACAGGAGAAAAGTCTGGAACTGCAATGCTATGCATGACGGCATGTCGTGGAGAAGAGCCCTCAGAGTTCCTGAAATGCACGGTGACAAAACAAAAACAAAAAAAAAAAAAAAGGAGAAGAAGAAAAAAGCCATCTGGTATTACAACTATTCAAAAGCAAAATGTTCCAATATGCAAACTGTTTACAACCCTACTACCTTAATTCTTTGCCAAAAATGTGTAACTTACTGTCATCCTAGTTTACAATTATTTTTCTTCAGTGTAGATATAGCTCCAGTTTTATAAAGGGAACTAAAGAGGTTCGTATTACAGAAATTCGCTTTATGGCTGGGCGCGGTGGCTCACACCTGTAATCCTAGCACTCTGGGAGGCTGAGGAAGGCGGATTGCTCAAGGTCAGGAGTTCGAAACCAGCCTGAGCAAGAGCGAGACCCCATCTCTACTATAAACAGAAAGAAATTAATTGGCCAACTAATATATATATATATACAAAATATTAGCCGGGCATGGTGGTACATGCCTGTAGTCCCAGCTACTCGGGAGGTTGAGGCAGAAGGATTGCTTGAGCCCAGGAGTTTGAGGATGCTGTGAGCTAGGCTGACGCCACGGCACTCACTCTAGCCTGTGCAACACAGTGAGACTCTGTCTCAAAAAAAAAAGAAATTTGTTTTATGGACAACTTTGCTGGAAAGTAGGAATCCTCTAAGATGAGGGACAGACATTCAAGAAGGGTTCTCTTTGACCGTTCTGTTAGTCTCAGTGTGTAAGGGGAGTGAGAGAATAGCTGACTAGATTAAAAGGCCCTTCACAAGTCCCCCTGGTTTTTCAACTTTCAGATGCTGTTATGGGTTGAATTGTCTCCCCACAAAAAGATGTTGGAAGTGCTGACCACTGTAGCTATGAATGTGATCTCATCTGGAGATGATCAAGGTTAGATGAGGCCATCAAGGTAAGCCTTAATCCAACATGCCCGTGCTCCCAGGCAAAGGGCAAATTTGGACAAAAAGACACACAAAGAGAGAGAACTGCACTTGAATCCTGAAGTCATACTCTCACGGACTACCAGAAGCTAGGAGACAGTCCAGGAACAGATCCTTCCCTAGTGCCTTCAAAAGGAGCTTGGCCAGGCTGACACCTCCATCTTGGACTTCTAGCCCCTAGCACTATGGGACAGTAAGTTTCTGTTGCTTAAGTCACTCAGTTTGGGGTACTTGCTACCTGCTGACCTTGCAAAGTAATGGAGCCTTTATGGTATTGCACCTCCTTGAACAGCCAGAAAAACCTCCCTTCCCATACTCCATACCCGAAGGAGACCTAAAAGAAATATGAGGAAAGGAACCAATGGGTCAGCTATCTTCATTCCGCTAACATAAATCCAGCTTGTTCCCAAATTATGCAAATAAAAAGAAATGCCTATTTAGTTTACTAATCAAAATGTACTTATAGAATAACATTCACTCATTTGAAGAGGAAAAAAATACAGTAAAAACAAAGACCCATCTCAGTAGTGTTTTCTGAATAAAATTAGCAGTAAATATTTTTAAAAGATTTTAAAATGGTAGTTCCATAAAAGAGTAA